AGATATGACACAAAACAAAATAAGACAAAATGTTCCCGTCGTTATTAGAGAAATTGTCTCTATTATTTTTTTAAATTCTAAAATTCTTTTGAAGATTCTGGAATCTTAGAATAGGACCACTGCTGATTTGAATGAAGGAAAATCACTTGATTTTCTTTAACAAAATGGATAAATTTGTTTTTGTGTTTCTCTTCATTTGTTTCTTCATTTAGGATTGCTGAGAAGTCTAAATTAAACAAAAAAAAGCATATGATACAAAATAAAAAAATACATTTCAGACATTGTTTAAGTGTGACGTCTGTTCAAAAGCCTTTTTCTTCAGACTTTCGACCCGTGGACGCCCACCGCAAAGAAGTGTTAGTCCAGCCCATTCGGAGCCCTGTTTGATAGTTTCACCTGAAGATGGAATGTATTCCTGCGATTGCTGGCTGTCAAATTCCATTTTGTTTTACATTTCAATCTTCCAAGGATTGAGCTGAAGCTTTTTGTTTTAGACAAGAGTATAAAAGAATTAAGATGGAAGACACATCATCGATGGTGATGGACAAAACAGCATTTGCTGCCTATCGTGCATTACGACAAGTTGCAGACGAATATAAAATAAATGTCGATCCGCCGCGAATCGTTTTTGTTGGTGAAACATCGACAGGCAAATCAATGTTGGTGCAAAATTTTCTCGGTTTTCCTTGCACATTTACTAATGCAGGTGTAGCCACTCGATGTCCTGTTGCCTATCAATTGCGTTATAATCCAAATGCGAAAGTTCGACATGTTATCAAACCTGAAGGCATTGAAATAGAAGAACTTGCCAAACATATTGGATTACATATGAAACGTATTGAGAAAGAATCTCAATTTTCACTTGAGCCTTATTACGTTGAAATTGAAAGCAATAGTTATCCAGATTTAGAAATTTTGGATGTGCCAGGTCTTGTTGCAGGCAAAGGAGATGCTAACGTACGAGATGCGGTAGAAAGAAGTAAGTTGAGTTTTTCTTTTGATAAACTTTTAAATTTCGATTCATTTACAATTTCAAAAGATACTTTTCGTGTTCAATTGTTTTATTTTTCGGGCTATCAAAGAGGGTGGTCAAAAAATCATCAATTTTTCCTCACTCTGAAAACATTTTAAAATGAAAGTACCTTACAATAGAGGGTTGTCAACTGTAACGCATTAATCGAGCTGATATTTCGCCCATAAATAGGACTTGATACGACTAGAAGAAGCCTGTAAGGTTTATTGCATATGCCCTATCCATCTAGAGTTATGATTATTTTAGTGAGTTTTAGTCCTCTTAACATTGGTATTTATACAAGATCATCTTATGAGCGATGGACCTGAAATTTTGTCCATAGATGGCTCTTGAGTCCATTAGAATATTTTAAAAATTTCAGCTCAAACCAATGTATTCTTCTCGAGATATTGAACGCTCAAGAATAGTTGATTCTAAGCATCTTTCTATAAGAGCGGATCATTATTTAGACATTCAATATCTTAAGAAGAAACATTCGTTTGAGCTGAACGTTTTAGAACATTCTAATGGGCTCGAGAGCCATCTATGAACAAAATTTCATGTCAATCGCTCATAAGACGATCTTGTATAAATATCAATGTTAAGAGGACTAAAACTCACTAACGAGGGAACATTCCCAAGTGTCAGATCACTTTCGAATTCGGAGACTATGCATAAGGTAGACCCCAATGAGGTATGAAAAACTTCAGAAGGATAAGTGCCCTTAGGCCTTCTGTCTAGAGTTATAGGCATT